TGCAATTCTAGGATTTTTTTTTTTTTTTTTTTTTTTAAGTGAAAATAGGTCGATGTGCACATGGATACCGAGTATGTGCAATTCTTAAAAACGCGTCAAGCAGTGGGTGATTCTGCATTTACCCAAAATTCTATTGCCGACTTTTCGTTATGGGCAATTCCCAAATTTTTAAATCCATAGGATATCAATAAAGGATTTAAAATCAAAAAAGGATTTAAAAATTAAACTTGTATTTCAATGGCGTCTTAAGAAATATAGAACTATATAAACTTACGCAATCTGAAATCAACGCGTACGCTAGATTTGGCGCGCTGTTTAAATGGGCGCGTTTGCTAGATTTGGCGCTTTTGCGCCTACATTTTCGCTGCAATTTTCTTACGACCCTCAAAACAGAATAGTACCAAAAAAATATTGAATATGTTACTAGTCATTTAAAGTAATTATTTTGTAGAGCTTTTTTTTTTTTTTTAACAGGCCGATATCTGAGATATAATGATAATAAATAATATAATCTGTAAGTGAAATATTGTTACACAGTCAAATTTTGATACTACGTCACTCATGGAGCTAATCTAATTATTAATGTAATGTATTAATGTATTATTAATGTAATGTATTAAGTGAAATGACTTCTGAAGCAGAGATGAAAAATTTTAAATTGATATTCAAAATTTTCTCCTTAAATTCAAAATTATTCAAAAGGAGATTATTTTATTATTTTAATTTACTTACTATTAATAAGTTCACTTTATCTTAAAATAACTATAAATCTGACTTTTGTTTCTTGAATTACTTTGAAAGTTTTCCATTGCTCATTTGGTGTTGTTTAGAAACTGAATTATTCCAGTCTCCTGAAGTTGAAAAAATTCTTTTAAATGCTTTTAATGTTTCACAGATTAAAACATATATATATACATATGTTGTATGATCTTAAATTCACTTAGTGCGAAATTGAGTTGAGTTATTCTACTACTTGCGCAATTGCTGCAAAGTAAGTTAATAATAATTTATTTACTAAAGAAAATTGATTATATTATCTCCTAAGATTAATCTTAGTAGAATTATCTTAATTGAAATGTTTTTTTGACTCGGAAAACTTCCCCAAGAAACTTCTCAACTGGTTACACTCTTGTACTAATAAATTCCTTACCAAACTAAAAAAATTCATACATGAAAGCTACGACGAAATACAAATCATTAAAGACATGGTTCTCGATTTTTGTCTTTTCAGACTTTCTAATTGTCTGACTCAACGCAAAATTTATTTTACAGTCAATTTTCTGCATCCGCAGTTTGACAATATTCGATTCTCAAGAATCATCAAAGATTGTAAAGTTTACTTCCCAGCTGTAGATACCATACTAATAGCTGCATTTAAATATCAAAGGACCTTAAGTAACTTGCTAACTAACCACCATGAAATAGATGAGACAGCAGAATGACATTGCAAGTCACCAGATTACAGTATTTACGTAGATTCTCATCATCAGCACATAATTACTGGCAACCTGAATATCATACAAAACCATCAACTAAAAACACTAATGAGTTATGGTGCAAAATTTAGACCAGTCAGAAACATAACTAAAAATTACTGTTGCAAGATTTTCGAAAACAGCATCAACGAATTTAAAGCAAGTTATCAACTGATTTTATCTATAGATACCTTTTTAAAATGGAAACATAAAATTCTGCAACGCATATCCACCGAAATCAATCACCTCAAGATTAAAAGTACAAATAATTGGTTGCAACTTACATCAGATATTAAAAAAATTTTAAAAACTTTTTACTATTACAAAAATAGATAAAGCAAATAATAACTTTAGCATTATATGAAAACAATTCTACGCAGAAATTATTCATAAAGAACTTCTCAACGCAACTACTTATCAATTGGCCAACCTTACAGAAACATCTATAATTTATTAATTAAAACTTTTCATAAAAAACTAAATATTACTTTAAATCCAAGCTACAACAGATTAACTAACCTTTATGCACTTCTCAAATTCCATAAAACACCATTAAAATTCAGATTTATAGCAAATAGAATTTGTTCGGTGACTGAAAGAGTATTGCTTGGCAGCATTGTTTTACGCCAAGCAGAGTTTGGCTTTAGTGTAACCCTAAAGTTATTTCGTTTTTGCTTTATTAGTATGAAATGATTTCTGACTTGATGTAAGAGCATATGGTTGCTCGCTCTTTAGCTAAGTTACATAGGTAACTATAAGCACATGCGTGTGCTAGTATTCAATAATGTTGTTTTTGTTAAAATAAATTTGTTATTGTTAATATTACAGTCCACTTACTGAAGTTAAGTATCATTAAATAAGTTCGAGCTATCTTCGGCAAGAACAGAATTAATAATTACAAGAAAAATGTAGACTATTATTTTTCAATTCAACTTAAAAAAATCTGTAAATTTATTTTCAACGATTGTAACACTAATCATAACTATTGCTGGATCATCCATAATAACACTCCTGTCATTAATGCCATTCAAACAATTAACATACAGAACATTAACTGCTATGACTTTGAAATACTTATATACCTCACTTCCTTTAGAAGAAAGTTATACTAGTCTACTAGATCTGCCTAAACTCTTCCCTGATATTTTCACGATTATGAATCTTAATAAATGGAAAACCTACCTAAAATGCACACTTTTTCATAACTACATTAAATTTCAAAATCAACTTTTTAAACAAGTCAGAGGTCTTCCAATGGGATCACATTCCAGTACCTCGCTCTGTAATATCTTTTTATTTATCAAAGAATTTAACTTCCAAAAAAATCTACAACAACAAGAATTAAATTACTACAAGCACACTTACAGATATATTGATCTTATCACAATTAATAATTTTAATAAGATTGAATACTCCGAGATTTATCCAAATTGCCTTACACTTAATAAAACTAATAATTCACAAAATAGCATAGACTATCTCGATCTTCAAATCATTAACCACAAAAAAATTTTACTTTTTGACAAAACAGGAAACTTCAGTTTCAATACTAACAAATTAATAAATTGGAATTCCAACATATTCAAAAAGTAATTAACAATACAATAATAAATCAAATACAACGTATTAAAAATATCTGCACAGATACGATAGATCTACAACGCGAAGTTTTGCTCCTTACCTAATACCTAATCAATTTATTAACCATTGCCTCAAAAGAGCAGGCGTTAAATACTCACTCTAAATCAATTAACTGATAGGGATATGATGATTTGTTCCTAAACCTGAGAAGGCGGTATAAGTTGGATGACTATCAGTTGAAGGATTTGAACATAGTGTAATTACAAAGTTGTATATAATGTAAAAAGCTAATTGTCTTCAGATTTATGCTGTTACTAAAAAAAATGGGCCTATTTCATAATCTTTAGTTTGTCAAATAGCTCTTTGACAGTGAAAGTTCCTTTTTTCCTTTTCTTAATTTCTACCTCGTTACGACACGACAATTAGCCAGAAATTAATTAATTTCCATTCACTAGTATATTCAAAAATTTTAACAGACGGTTTCACTCACATAAGAACTCCACAACATACGTCCCTCAAGCATTCCTAGTCACTCCCTCTCGCATAAATTACTTCACGCAAGTTTCGCCGACTGATGTAATTTCAAAGCCCCCATTGGCGATAAAGATTTCGGAAACACAACCCTTCTGAGTGAGACGCGAAGAGAACACTTTACCCACATTCCACTAGAAAAAACTTAAGTTAATTAATGTTTTTTTCTGGCCTTTATATCTTCATGTACATTCCCTTTTCTTATTATATATTTTTTAAAAATTTCTTTTTCTTTTATTTGTTTTTGCAAATATTGCATTATTTTTCTTATATTTTGTAATTTTCTAATGTTTATTTCAATTACTTTGAATTCTATTTCATAATGCCAATTTCCAATGTTTAATTTTTACAAATAGTTTTGAACTAAAATGCAAAACACGAGGGTGACGGGGGACAGCTACTCGAGCAATGTCAATTTAGCTGCAGAAATTGCTTTTCACTCAAAATTGAGTTAGCTAAAATGCTTAATCGAAATGAGTTCCTTGGTTCTCTGCATTTGTATATAGTCCCTTCTATTCACGGAAATGTTTGGCCTAGCTTGAAATTGCCGGTTTGGCATCGCCTTATTGCTCGAGTAAAGGACGAAACACCTTCGTATTTATTTCTTGATTAATTTTCATTGAACGGGAGTTGGTTTGTTCCCCTTGAAAAGTTAACTAATTTCCGATCAATGACAATGATTACTTGTATTTAATTTAATTACTTGCTTTTTGTTTATTTCTTTTTTACAATTGAAATTTTGTTATTCATGATTTAATTCAAGTCCCCGTTAAACATTTTTAACAATTTACATTCAAGTTACTTTAAAACATTTTTCGAAATTGAACTTACTAAGTATGGATTTACTCTTTTAAGATAATTGTACTAAAATTAATCTTGTATCGATCATCGGCAGGTGGGATTGGTTTGATCGGTACAACCAACTTGCATAAACGTGCGGCACCCTTAAGAAAGTTGGTCGGTGTTCGCTGTGACACAGCGGTGTCCTGGCACTCGTATGAAATTTAGCTTATAACACGAAGAAAGCACCCTTCACCAAAATGCCGCGATGCCCATGTGAATCTTGTCTTGGGGATTTGCATCTCTTTATACCCATGTGATGCCCATGTGAATCTTTTTATAAGGCTGCTTGGTCGGCGTGACCTGCAAATTCTCTTCTAAGCAGTGGAGTAGAGGATTAGATTTAGCAATTTTGGAATGGGAAAATGGAAAATATTATATGAATACGTATTACTCGTATACGTATTCTGAATCTGGGGATGCTGTGGTAAGCGGAGTGGTGAGTTATCTACGTGATGGGTCAGAGGGGTTTGATTACATATCAACCGTAATTTTTTTAGCAAAGAATTGTGCAGGAATTTTGAAAGTAATTTTTAAAGATTCAAGTACAAGTTATTCGTATTTATTACTCACCAAATAAATAGAATGCCGATGGCCATCCACCAAAGACGTCGTACTGTATCAGGGAACCAGTGACAGGCATGGTAATGATAGTCCCTACATGCTGACCAATAGTGCAGATAGACAACAAACGACTGCGCTCCTCGGTAGGGGCCCATCTCGAAAACATAGCGTACATGGAAGCAGAATTTACACCCTATGAAAAAAATTGATTTAGTTTTAATTTAAAACATAATAATTATTACATACACGAGGAATGATGTAGACAAATATTAGAATTTATTTAAATTAATGAAAATCACATTTACTTTAACGTAAAATTAAACATTAAAAAATATGAAGACATTTCAAGGTTTTATTCTTTTCTAGCAAAGTAGTCAGTTTATTAGTCTAAAAGGGCAATTTGCCCAGAAGGACTATTAATTTCGTGTTGGCATTTTGCGTCGATTTACTACAAGGGTTGTTTCCCTTTTCCAATTATTGCCACCAAATATTATCGTCCAGAGTTACATTTAAAGAAATTAAATAATGAAGAATCTGTATAAATGTATCAAATTCAACTATGTTACAGGGTGGTGTATTTATTCACTTTGATCTGACTAATTAAAAATTTCCCAACTAATCATATATGTATACATGTGTGTGTGTACACGCAGCTATATTCTGAGGAATCATAACATATCACTTATTACATTCGCTCGCGTTTTCCTCTCTCTCTTCTCAGTTTGCCCCCTCTAACGGCGGCTCTGTTACGATATCATCTGTCGGCGAATTACAATTTATTTTTATATTTGAGGTTATAAATTAATAATATACTAGTAAGTTAATTTTATTTTATTAGCCCATGAGGCCTATTAGCCTCGAAATTAGATTTTACGTCGAATCACTAGCATTTCACGTTTCATTCGAGTCTGTTGCACATTCCGCAAAATGTAAGATATTTATTTTTCAAACTGAATCTGCCTGTTATGGATTAACCAACTAAGCTATATGATTTGTAAGAAAAGAGGTGAGAAATAGCAATACATTTTTAAAAAGGGATTGAGAAAAAAAAAGGATTTATGATTTAAAATTTTATCAATAATTCCAAGAGTAAATAGCTATAATTTTTAAATGAAAATTCCAGCCCTTTATTAGTCTGTGGATAAGGTAATTCGTTTAGGATTTACAAGACCTTAGCAGTATTAGTTATCATGATTAAAGGCAAATTAAGGTTCATCAATTCATGCAATATCTATTTTTTGATTTTATGATATAACATTAAGCTAAAATAATCTTTTCATATATATTTAATTTATTCTTTGAAATTAGAACTATTTTTTAAAGAGATCATTTCAATTTAACCCGGTTGTGTTTCTACGAGTTACTCACTTACACCACTTTTTCATTTTTGGTATCCATAGCAAGGTGATATTATTTCACTCATCTTCGCTGCAATCGTTAGGGTGACATGTAATTAATTCCCTGCTTGTAATTATCAGTAGTAAAGTATCATTAATTATCGCTAAACTATTTGTATTAGTATTATTATTACATTAATAAGTATTTTATTGGGCTATTTTGAGGAGTCAAAATGAAGTTGTCCTTCTTTCTTCAGTGATATTTTTAAGTGATTCTTAACTGTAAATTATATTATTATGGTTATGCAACTGAGATTCTGAGAAATTATATCATTAAGTATCATTATTTATTAAAGACGTTTACGACGCCCTATTTATTCCGTACGCCAGTTACAAAATTTCTTTAATTTCGTTATTTTTTTCTCTCTCTTACACCCCTCCCCCATATATATATATATATATATATATATATTTAAAAAACAAAAAGCACTACGAAGCAAAATCGAAGGTACGTAATTCTAATGTTTTCATTGCACTCGTCACTAGCAGAACCTGGCATCAGTTCTATCAGTTTAAATGACACATTCAAGTCCTGTTAATTGTGAGCCAGTGTATCATATCGCCGTCAGTTTCCAGTATTCTTCAATTTGACAACGGACAATCAGCGTGAATCTGCCATATCGTCATTCTAAAACACCTGACAGAAATACTTATTAGATTTCTGGAAAAACACATTATGAGCCGTGTAAAGAAATAGCAATGGGAATGAAAATTATAAACCCAAACTATTTTCCCAAGACTGTTGCACATTTGTTCGATATGGAGCTAAAGATATCTAATCTAATTATTACTAATATTTTGTAAGATCCAATTTAACTATAAATATTATATATGGCTTCAAATACAGGCATTTTGAGGGGGAAAAGCTGATCTTCGGTGTGATTTATGTGATTACGGCAAAGCCGCAAGGGCTATCCGCCTAAGGGGAAGGATGCCTTCGTGGAGGTCTTTGTAATGGATTGGATTGGATTGGATTATTTAATTATGACAAAGCACACGAGAGCTATCTGCCTAAAGAAAGGGATGCCTTCGTGGAGGACTTTCTAAGGGAAACTGGCTCGTATACCCGTTACACATAGGGAAAACTACGAACACATACAGCCAGCCCGTTCGCGGGATTCGAACCTCGGACCGATCTACCAGTCTTCAGCGACTTTACCGCTCGGCCGCTTTACATGTGACCAGTTTTCTTCCGTATTTGAAAACGAATAAGTCTACGAAAAGAAACAAATTATCGCTGAATATCTGCAATTTGTGATAACGATATTTTCTAGTAATTCTCATTCGAGTTTACAAACTTTATGAAGAACAAAACGCCATGAGGTATTTTAGCTGAAATGTGTAGAAAGAAACAAAGAAGTTTATAATCATTTACATAAAAATATATTTTTTTTCTGTGTGCATCATAAAAAAGTTGTAATAAATAAAAGAAACAGAACAGGCTGCCATTATTTATTCTCAAATTTTGTGCATCTTGATAAGTTCTCATAATTTCTTTTTAGTTTAAGTTAAAAGTAAGTTATAGAGTGGTTACTTCAATATATTATAATTATATGTGTAACTAACAGTCTGAAAATTTCGATATTTAGCTGTTAATACATTTGAACTACAAAGTGTGATCAACAAAAATTTCTTACAGATTCCCTTCTTTAGGTTTCAGACAGAAAATAAATATAAATTTGAATTTCTTCTTTGCGCCATTTTCATGTGTATGTTTTGACAAATATGTAGTGTGCCTGAAAGTCAGCCAGAAATGAGATGTAGGAAATTATGACATAAAACGTTATTGCAGGAATCCATATTAATGTATAAACATTGCAAAGCCCCCCCCCCCGCCAAGATTACTTTTGGTTGCCTGCTATACACTTTTATAGCACCTCCATGTCAAATATCGGGTGCTCGGAACTGCATGGTAAGAAACTATAAAAAAACAAAGAGAAAGTTTAAGATCTTTTTTATTTTTAATATGAAGAGCTAGGATTCCGGCTGAGGCTTAACTGAATACTAAGAGCTGTTAACCTTGGAATGTGAAAAACCGGTAGAATTTTGCGTCGCGTGGCGACACAATTTCAAAAGAGCTCTTTGTCAGGAATATACATTATCTTTAAATGCATAATTAGGATGATTAAAACAGTTATAACTTGATTTTAATGTAAAATATATTAAATTAAAACTTAGAACAACGTAATTGTTTTGGTTATTTCATTTGATTATGTATTTTTCTAAAAATTTTTAACTATCGAAAATCCGAGCAGGGAAGAAATGCCTCTTCAGATAAATAACAGAAATGTGTAATTTATTTAAAAAATAGTTTTATCTTAGCTATTTTAAATATTTGACATCAAAATTTTCTTTACGGCATTTCTTTTTGACATTTAAAAATCATCATTTATTCTAAAACTGCATTTCAAAGACATGGTAAATTAAAAACTGAGAATTTGGAGATTTATTGGGAAACCAAGAGATATGTAGAAAAATTAGAAGTCTCCCGAGATTAGAGGGTATGTTGGCAAATGTTCAATACCTTTTACGCTCCGCATAGTCATGCCGTAAGCTTACAAAATATGCAGCCATTAACTGATGATTAATATTCGATTATTCAAAAGATTCAAAGCTATGCAGATTCAGTTTTACTAACCTGACAGAAAATAGCAACAACGTTTTTGGTAACACCTTTTTAAAGGTAATCAAGCAGTTAGAGACTAAATGAAATGGGAATTTACCTGTGCAGCGCCTATTATGACACGAAGCGCAACCATAGCGGCAACTCCAAGCTCAGCTGCATAAGGCGTAATCAAAGTAAGTAAGGAAGTAAAAAAGATGCCTCCACCAAGTAACCATTTTGCACCCACCAGTTCTGAGAGTCGACCTCCTAGCAAAGGAGTGCAGATGTAGCCATAGTAGAAAGCGCCGAGGATAATACCTTGTGTCGAAGGACTCCATGTAAATTTACCCTGTGGGAGAGAAAAATATTGGAGCTGTTTAGAGAATTCTAGTGAACATCTAATTTTCTTCAACAGGAATTAAGTACTACTGCAGTTTTTTTCGACATTTCTTGACGGCAGTCACAAAGAATGTCGTCATATATAAAAATTTTGGCAGCAATGGCAATTAAAGTAGCTTAAATTAAAAAAAAAAAAAAAAAAAAAAAAAAAAAAAAAAAAAAAAAAGGTAGCTCGAAAATAATTGCAAAAGTACTTTGCTTTCAAAAATAACTGAGAATAATTAATATAACAAAATACATTATATTAATATCTTCGAACAGAAAATATGTATGATCCTAAGCTCATGCAGTGATTACTACCTTATCATTCAATTACTATTTCTATATGAGTAAACATTTCCAAGTGAATATGTTGCATGTGCCAAAAGAATACATAAAAGTGTAGAGTCATTAGGGTTTTAGAAGCAGGAAACGTGAAAAATGGGCAATACCGTTGCCGGGATTCTAACATTGAACCTTCTGTCGCTTGTCAAACGTCCTTTTTAATTACACCACGAATAAAATATTTTATAAAAGTTTACTTGATTTTTGTGTTTTGTTAATCGAATAACAAATTTTTAAAACTACAGAACTGTAATAGAATGAAGTTAAAATGCAAGATGTGTTTTACTTTAAGTTTCCTATGTTTAAGCCAAAAAGTTGCTTTTAATTTCTACTTTTTACGAAATCTTTCTTTTTAAAATATTTCAGAACATTTGGTTTTAATGGCATTCCTTTTATATGGATGTTAATCCATTACCAACACAGTACTATATTTTAATGAAATACTTTATTCTAATGTCATTTACAACATCCTCTTTCCAACAACTCTGTTCATGAAATTTATTCTTAACTTTTAAACAGAATACAATGAATCTTTAAACTATTCTTAAATCACATAAATAGCTATGTATAAATACTATTCACATAAAGTACACTCCCACGTTGTTTTTGTAAGACTTTTTTTTTTCTTTTAAATAAATCTTAAAGAACAAGTACTAAGCTGAATTTCGGAATATTACATTTTCCTGATTTCATATTCTAGAAATTTCCTTACTTGAATATAAATCGACTATACGCACCTGATGCTCAAGAACGCGAATAGTAAAATATTTTATATATAGGAGAAGAAAAATACTTGAAAGGTGATGCTGTTAGTCATTTTTTATGTTCCTTTTGTTCTTGAAACATTCATGCACACTTCTGCAAGGGCATCTTTTAAGAGATCGTCTGCGAATAGAGTTTATAGAAATTTGTTCAAAATACGCAGCATATCGAACGGTTTATAAAGCTAATATAAAACAAAGTACTTTGATGAAAAAATTACTATAATCAAGCAAATTCGTGGTGTAAAAGTTTGTCTAATAATAGCACTTACATCTATAGAACAGAACTTTATTGGTTAACATCAAAATTTTGGGCTACATCATCTCAAACACATTTTCCTACATTTTATTAATTGTAATGTTGTTTCCAATGTTAGTTCGCGAAGTATGTTAAATTAGGAGTGAAGATCACTAAACAGCTCCTGACAGTAGAATTTCTAACTAGTTTAACCTCAATTACTAATAAACTAAACATAAATCAACATTGCAGTTATAAAGGAGCTAACTTTGTTTTCTGTTTATTCAAGGCTATTCTTCCATAGGAATTTGGGAAGAAAGTGCATTCAAATAAAGTAATAAAGTGCTTTTCCCATTTTTCACAGCAGTTATTTCTAAAACTGCCAATTCAAATTCATCTAGTTATCGAGTATTATTTATGTAAAGAGTGTTTATTTTTAAAGCACAGTTACTAAAAAAAGTTTGGAAAAACATTTCTATAGCTAAATAATGCATATTCCTCGCAGTGTTGAAAAATGGCAACATCTAGAATCAGCAAATTTTGAACACAAGCAGTCATCCACCAGAACATGTGCACCTGGAAGCCAGAATATTGGATTTTTAAAAAAATTACTTATTTCATAGTCTGTGCCAACTTAATGAATTCTTAATTAAGAAACTTGGCGATCAAAATGAAATGTATTGCTATTCAGCAAAGCGTAAAATACTTGGCTTTCAAATAATTAAAAAAATGATTTAAAAGAAATGTGTTGCCACTGCTCGATATAAAAAATTTCTTTCTTCCATTCAGTTTGTTGCCATTTAGCGAAGTTACCTGTTACTATTTAAGTTGCCTGTTATTTATTAATTAACAAATTTTTAAATGTCTCTCGTTATTCAAACTCAATGCCAACCGAGGGTAGTGTCACTTCTGTTGTTGAAAAGTCAAATATTTAGGCCATTGCATTACCAAGGACGGTGCATCTGTTGATCCACAAAACCGTCGCCAAAAACTGCCAAGCAAGTACAATCTTTTGTACAAACCTGCTCCTGGTATAATCGATGCAAGCCAAAAGCCCATTTAAAAGCAATAAATGCAGTTCTTTATCAGTGTTATTACTAGCTGGACCTGTAAAGTCTAGGCTCAGTAGCTAGGCTCATTTAAAGCATCATATATTTTATTCTTTTTTATAGTAACTACGTAACTTTACAGTTTTTTACAGTTTTTTACTGTTTGCAAAATAAATCTGTATTTGCCTATCCTTAATACGTATTTTATCACAAGACTGTGTTCAAAATTAATCAATTAAATAATCTTTAATAGATAAATTCAGGATTTCTCTCGCATTCTTTTCGCTCAGTATTAATGAAGAATATTGAATTACATATTATATATTGAATTACAAATGACAGAAAAAAAAACAGAGCTTGCTATTTTAAGTGAAATATATCCAAAAGTCTGTTTCTTAATATATATATGTCATTAGATTAATATGACAGGTTATTGAGATAAAATAATCTCAATAAATGTATTATATTTTGTATTTCTCGGCTTAAGTTCAGACAGTATTTTAATTATTGAATGAAAATATATTTTCATAAGGCATATTTAACATTTCAAAAAGTTTTTTTTTTCCTTCCGCGAAGAAATTCAAAGCAATCAAAATACGAACCTAAGGCTGAATTATAGCCAGTCTTCCAAATTTAACAGTTGACAGAAATACTATAAATATAACTAAGCCATTTTAAAAAATGCATAATAATATTTTGATACATTTACATAGAAGAATTTTATTAAACATTTAATAATTTGCATAGTCAATAAGATATATGCTTCATTTTATTATGTGGCAGCAGAAGGTACCATTTTAATTTATAAATCGAAGCAAAATATTTGTATAACTTGTGCTAATTTGTATTTTAACAAATTTCTGTGATAGAATTTGCAATGATTGTAACTGCTATGTTACACCTATGTATGTATGAGTAAATATTTTCTAATTCAAAAAGTATTCAATTTCCGCCCCCCCCCCCTTTTTTTTTTTTTTTTTTTTTTTTTTTTTTTTTTTATTGTACTCGCAAGCTTTATTTTCAAGAATAGAATTTATGACATCTTTCTGATTCTAAGATGAAATCTGCTGAATTATACAACAATTTTTTTTTTTATTTTCATTATTTATTTGTTTATTTATTTTCATATCTTTGTTCACAGAAACTCATAATTCCCCCACCCCCCCCGTAACTACATACATGAGCCGGATCATACGGAAAGCCGACGTAATTCTCATTCGAAGATACATATACGCAATATTAGCACAACCTTCGATGTCTTTGTTTTGAAAAATAAATATAATTCATCGATGTGCTATTGTTTACATGCATTTGCAGCAAAAATACTATAAAAGGCATCGTACAAGTATTTTTAGAATAAAATAAGAGGTGTAGATTTTAACTGAACAAAGCTTAATTTATTCTTTTGCAGACGTATACAATACTAGATTTAAAAAGTCGTGATATAGTGATGTCACATACGTGTGAAATGTAGCGCACGGTTATAGTAATACTTGTGTTCAGCTAGTGACACTGTGTAGTATTTCGCATCTTGCTGAAAAAGCGTGAAATTTTAGACGTTAAGTATTTGACTTCTTATAAATAATGGTTTAAAAACTAAGATGCTATTACCAGATAAGAATAATTAATAAAAAAAATAATAAAAAAATATAATATTAAAAAAATCTGAAATTTTTAAATTACGTTCAAAGGGGCGTTTTTTAACGTTTTCTGTGTTACCTTTATTTATTAAATATCATGTTCTTCGCACTTAAACCAAAAAATTCAGTTCAATAGCAATGTCGCAAAATATTTTAAAATGAGCATATCTTTAGAATTTCCGATACACAGTTCCGCGTGCTGGAGACAAAAAGTTTTTTTTTTTTTTTTTTTTTTTTTTTTTTTCCCGTAGAGTGTTGCCATCGCTCGCTTTTAAATCGTTAAGTTTGTTACTCAAAAATTCGTTAAAGTTTTACAAAATATGAAATCGATAATGAAACAAATTCCAAATTTCAAATTTGGTCTTCCACATGCCTATATTCGTAGGAGGATTACCGTTGTTTTATCGCAATGCGAGAAATATACATACATTTATGGAGATTTTTCATTATTTCATTTCTTCAATTATAATGCAGAACTCTAACATTTGGTGGCAACAGTTTGAAAAGTGATTCGCCGTTTATAATGACTCAACGCAAAATCGCAAAATGAAAACAATAGCCCTACAAGGACAAAGCCCCTTTGGACTAATAAGCACTTTATCTTTTCACTTGCGAAGTAGAAACTTTTGATATAATATATTAATCGGCTGGAATTACGCTTGCGCTTAAAAGCGATGTGAAATAATTGGAAAAGTTATTTTGACTAAACAAATTAGGAATTTTCATGCAAATTTCGTGAAATGTGTCACTTTTATAATATCCTTTTTTAGTTTATTTTGAATGTTTGATTTTCGTTTGATTTAATATATAAATTTGATGATGGTTTCAACTGATAACCTGTTTGTACTGAAGGAAAGTTTTAGATACAAAGTCATAAAAGTATCAAATAAGAAAATTAAAAATTTTTTCTTCGGTATCTTATTATTTAGAATGTTTTA